TGATGAAAATGCATGCAATTATTGTATTACATGAAAAAATGAAATTATATACGGTACTTACAATAAAACAAACATTTTACGTAGTTTTATTATACTTGGTAGATCCACGCTGCAACTGTAACATGGTTGTAGCACGAGTGGGTCGGCTCGACCGGGGAAGGACCAAGCACTCATAGAATACCAGCGTAAAATAGCAGCTTAATACTGCTGTGTTTCGTATAGTGAGTGAAGAGATCCGGAGACCCTTTTTTTACTGGAAACGCGGCATTCCATCTTAATACTCTGGAGTCAGTCAGTCCTTCAGAAGCTCTTCAATTCCGTCCTCCATGGTGGCACTACTCCGGAGGCGTGGAGCAGAAGTGCGGTGGTCTTGTTCTTTAAGAAAGGCGACAACGCTCTCTTGAAGAACTATAGACCGATTTCCCTTCTGAGCCGTGTCTACGTGCTGTTTTCGAGAGTCATTAGGAATCGTCTCGCACGCAGACACGACGACTTCCAGCCTCCTGAACAAGCCGGTTTCAGAAAAGGTTTCAGTACCATATACCACATAAATACCCTGCGGCAGATTGTTCAGAAGAACGAAGAGTACAATCTGCCACTTTGCCTGGCATATGTGGACTACGAGAAAGCCTTTGATTCCGTCGAAATTTTTTTTTTTATAGGATAGGGTGACAATCGAGCACACAGTCCACCTGATGGTAAGTGGTTGCTGTGGCCCATAGACATCTACATTTATCCTCGATTACGAATCAAAATGCAGATGTGTTGTCACCCGTGAGGACTAAGATGGAATGCCTCGTTTCCAGTAAAATGGGTCGCCGGTTCTCTACACTCACCATACGAAATACAGCAGCATTAAGCTACTATTTCACGCTGGTATTCTGTGAGAGCGTGGTTCTTCCCCGGTCGAGCCGACCCATTCGTGCTACAACTATACATCTAATATAACTGCAGCATGGCTCTACCACATCTAATATAACTGCAGCATGGCTCTACCACATGTATGTGTGTGTGTGTGTTTGTGCAGTAGAGTTATGATGGATGGATCCAAGTACAGAACCAGAGTTCGAAACCTATCCAACTGCAGAGAGGTGTAAGACAGGGTGACGTTATATCCCCGAAACTCTTCACCGCTGCTTTGGAAGTCGTTTTCAAGCTACACGACCTAGTAAGAGATGCAGGCAGTCGATGGATGCGGGTGGCTCAGGACTGTGCTTTGTGACAATACTTGGGGGAGGCCTATGTAACATTGTTGAACATTGGACTTATAAAGTACTGTTGATTTTGATGATTGAAAAATAACCCAAAATTATCAGCAGTGAAAAATTATACCAGTGCACTCAAATGCCCGTAACAATTAATTTATATGACGGGTTCAGATTATTACACGATTTTTCCGGACCGATACGACCTGGGGACCTTCAAGAAAAGAGCTTACTCCTTTCTAAAGGGCCGGCAACGCACCTGCAATTCTCCTGGTGTTGCGGTTGATCATGAGCGGCGGTAGTCACTTTACATCAGATGAGCCCTCTTTTCTATAAAAAAACACAAACTTTGTAAGTCCAGTATGCGTATGACCGATAATTTTTAACATCATCATCATCATCATTCACAAGTCCACTGCTGTGCATTGATCTCACCCAAGGAGTGTCACAAAACACGGTGTTGAGCCACGTGAATCCATCATTTTCCTGCATCACTTACCTGGTTGTCACACCATCTGGTGGAGAGTCAATCGAGATTTTTTTTGTCGCCATCTCATGTCTTTAAACGATATGGCTGTCATTGAGCCGTTACTGCGTTGGTTACTTTGTTTCCTGTGGGTATATTTTTATTTCGAATTCGATTACTCAGAAAAACACCTAGCCCTTTCCATAGCTCACCGAGCGACCAAGCCTTCACAATTTTTTTTGACAATTAATTATAAGTTTTGGTTATTGTCATGGAAAATGTTATCTTACTTTATTAATATCAAAAAATGTAATAAATGGAAGATAGATATTAACTATTATATATTGTTAATCTCCAGACTGATTCAAATAAAGTTTAGCATAGAAGTCAATTATGTTATAAAAAATTCTAAATACAATCCTTTTAAGCCGCTATTATTAAGATGGGGGGGGGGATAACTGCACATACACATTATCCGTAACGAAATAGGTGGTTAACGTGAGTTAATACTAGTCTATACCCAGGAATCGTGTAGTAAAGTTTTGTTAATTTATTATTTATGGTGTGTAAAATCGCTTGTTCGCACAAGTAATTAGCAAAGCGTACGCAATCGTATGATGAATTACCGCAGCAAGCTCAGAAGTTAGCCGTAGGCAACTCTTGATGCCTATCTACGATTGATGTTCTCGAAGCTTAGGTCCAGAGAAAGCAAGTAGTTCAGAAGCATTAATGTGAGTTATATGTTACTGAAAGACTGCATAAATTCTAGGCATCATAATTTAATAAAAGGTCTTATATACATAAACTTTCACGCCTGTGAACCAGAGGGGTAGGCAGAAACTACGGTACGTTTTTTCCACTTGGCGCGATCTTGACATAATTATTCCCTCGCTTCCTTCACATTCATATATTTATGTATACGTCTTTGTTTGTTGGTTAAGGGTACTCTTAGCATGTCCATCTTCAATACCATATATCACTAATTCTGTTGATAATTTTCCATTTAAGATGTTTCTTTACGGCTCTGCTAGTCCATTCTGCAGCAAAAAGCTTTGTCACTCTTTCTTAATGTTTCTGTTTCTACGCGTCCGAACCACCGAAGCGTTGATTTCTTAATCCTTATCACAACATCTTTCAAATCAAACTTTTAACTGTACTGTTACTGAATGGTAAATAAAAATAAAATATACGAATGAATCCGTAATGAATTATTATTATTATTATTATTTGGGTTATTAATAGAGTAAACACATCTGGTTGGGCTGGACAAATATATAAAGGGAAAAATAAATATACTTAAATATATAGTTAATATACTAACATAAATAAATAAAGGCCCAACCAGATGGAAGCCCTCGGCAGGGGAGACCAAACGGCCGAGGGTTAAGGGGAAAGGGAAAGAAACCGGCGGAAGATGCGGGCGGTATCGCGAAGCACCGCTTTCTGCATTTGGGCCCGGAGCGGTCCGTCACGGAGTCCCAGTCGCCTCAGATGGCCCGAGAGGCTGGCTGGGATTAACCCGTTTGCAGACACGACTATAGGAATAATTTCGGTCGGCAGACCACCCCACATGTCGGTCACCTCGTGAGCCAGGTTCAGATATTTTGATTGCTTGTCTGTTTCGGCTTTCACGAGGTTCTCGTCATACGGAATGGTAATGTCGACCAAAAATATCCTTGACTGTGCCCGGTCCATCAGCACAATATCAGGCTTATTCGCAAGAATAGTCCTGTCTGTGATGATGGTCCGGTCCCAGTAGAGCCGTGCGCGGTCATTTTCGAGCACGGCTTCCGGCAAGTACTTGTAATACGGCAATTTTCGGTCCACGAGACGGTATTTCAGAGCGAGCTCCTGGTGTAGAATTCTGGTTGTGCCTTTGCAAGTACTCAGAGTTAGAAAGCGCCGAACAACCGGAGATGACATGCCTAAGTGACTCCCCGGGATGGCGACAAGCTCGACAGATGTCGACAGTGCCACCCTTTAGGATGTATCTCCGATAGTTGTTGGTCTTAGTAACCTGAGCTTGTATTGCACAGACAAAACCCTCGGTTTCCCCGAAGAGGTCACCGAAACGTAGCCAGTTGAGGGAGGCGACTGTATCTACGAAGGGCTTATGTAGAGCCCTGTAGTACTTCCCGTGGAGCTCCTTCTCCTTCCATACGGTCTCCCGGTCGGAAATGCTAAGCACTGCTGGGTCCTGCCATTGCTCGTTGGCTAAGGATAGAGGGGTAAGCCCTTTATCACTAGAAATGACGTCATTATAGAATGGATCATCCGATCTCGCCAGGAAGTAATTACGGAGGCTGCACACTTCGCGATTATGTATGGTGCGCGCGCTCAGAAAACCACACCCACCATGCTTTCGCGGCAAGTACAGCCTCATTACCGACGATCTCGGATGATGCATCCTATGGGACATCATGGTAGTGCGGACTTTTCTATCCAGAGCGTTAAGTTCAGTCTGGGTCCACCTGAGTATGTCAAAGGTATACATGAGGACAGGCATGACCCAACCGTTATATGATTGTGTCTTATTCACACCGGACAAAAGGCTGTTAAGCACTTTGGTCAAGCGTGCATAAAACACGTCGCAAACTGACTGTTTCATACCAGCCTCATCGATACCGATGTTCTGTGACATACCCAGGTATCGGTATGTTTCAGTCTCGGAAAGGGTCTTTAAGTTGACGGGCATAGATAAGTCTATGCCCTCAGAGTTAGCAACCCTTCCTCTTTCTACATGGAGGACCGCACACTTATCCGTTCCCAGCTCCATTCCAATAGAATTGCTAAATTCACAAGTGATGTTTAGCAATTCCACAAGATGATCCATATAGAAAAGGTGGGTCACTTTTGTACCTAATTTCCGAAGCTGAAATCCCCTCCCGGAGCCCTCTAGTAAAGTACTGAGAGGGTTCAGAGAGAGGCAAAACCAGATTGGACTCAGACAATCGCCCTGGAAGATACCCCTTCTTATCCTTATGTGGTTCTCCGCAGCCATCATCCGCTCGCCCAGATAGCAAAGGATCGTACTCCATTGCCCCATACACTGCTCGAGGAAGTCTCCAACTGTACAGTCAAATTTGTACAGCTGGAGGACTCTCTTTAGCCATGTATGGGGCACCGAGTCGAATGCCTTTCTGTAGTCTATCCAGGCGGCAGAGAAATTCCGACGGTTGCGTTTCACCACTTTGCCAATGACCGCGTCAATGAGGAGTGGTTCCTTGGTTCCACGACCACCGCCCCGACATCCATTTTGAGCGCGTGACATCATCTGATTTAGCTCCAGGTGACGAGTGATTCTCGCGGTCAAAATGGATGTCAGTGTCTTATATATGGTGGGTAGACACGTGATGGGACGGTATTTGCTCTGTGGTATCCTGATCTTTAGAAACCAAATGAGTGATCCCAGTAGTGAAGAGACTCGGGAGCGACTTCTGATCGAGAGCCACTTGAAACTGTCGGGCGAGCACAGCGTGACACACTACGAACCCCTTCAGCCAGTGATGATGCAGCCCGTCGAGCCCCGGACTTTTCCAGTTCGGAGCCCTATGGACCGCCTCAGCCACGTCTTCAGGCGTTATGGTGACGGGGTCCATAGACGTAACACTTGCACTCTGGCTCGCCACAACTTCCATCCAAGGGCACTCGCTGTGGTTTACGGGCTCTGACCACAGGCCACGCCAAAATGCGACTGTGTCAGCCTGATCCGGTCCTGGGCCCGCTCCACATACCTCTGGTCGCTCCAATAATTTATAGAGCCTCTTCTGATCACTCTGGAAGAGACGATTCTGGTTAAACCGCCTTGACCTCTCGCTAAATCGTCGAATCCGCTTCCCCCAAGCAGCGATTTTTTGCTTCAGGTCATCTATGCGCTCCGTTAGTTTTTGCGTGATATCCGGCTGGGACAAACTAAAATTTGTCCCAGCAAACGCCATTCTAACGGTGCGCACATCTCTCGGTCTATTATTACCCGACCTGAAGCTTGTCAGTCTGCCGATAAGGGCCCTTGCCTATGCGATACGGTCCTCAATTCTTTTTCTCCAGGCTGGGATGGCGCTACTTTTTTGAGTAGCACGTCCAGCCACGGGAAGTTTGGCGCCAATAATGCGGCATACTGCCAGTGTGGCGCCAAAAAAGAATTGAGTCCGTCTCTCATATGCAGTTTGTTGCGCATCTAGTGGCGCCGCATTCCATTATTATTATTATTATTCTTTATTTCAGAAATTTCTTTCTTCTAGGATTAGTAAATAAATAATATTTAAAAGGTTACATACTATATTACTATACACTATCTACTTTATATTTACCAGAACAGGTCTCGAGCCGATATGGACGCTGTTCCAGTGCCTCAAGATAGGACAGCAATAGCGACTCCCTATCGATATATCTATTAATGACTGTCTTGATTTATCATAATCTTCGATTAAAATAATTATAATTTTACGGTATACAAACATTAAAGAATTTAGCTATTTAATTATACATCTGTAATTTTTAATTTTCTTTATAATATGAAAGTGACTAGTTAACTTAAAGCCTATGACGGTAAGTGCCTAATACAGCCACCTGCAACTTCAAGCAAACATGGCTTCAGAGACTGTATGACCTCTGAGGACCAAGATGGAGTCCTTCACAGCCTGCAATTATACTGGCTGCACTGTTGCTCGGTGGCGGAAAAATTTGACAGGATGGTACATATCCAGCAGACTTTCAGGCAGATAAGATGTACTACCTTTCAGTAAAATTTGTACTCAACACTTAGTTAAATTTGTTCTTTTTTATAGTATAAGGGTGACAAACGAGCACCAGTCCACCTGATGGTAAGTGGATGCTGTTGCGCATAGGGTTATCCGATCCACATCTACATTTAACTTCGATTAAAAATCAAAATGCAGATATGTTGTCACCCTTGAGGACTTATACGAAATGCCTCGTTTCGAGTAAAAAAGGGTCTCCGGTTCTCTACACTTACCATACGAAACACAGCAGCATTAAACTGCTATTTTACGTTGGTATTCGGTGAGAGCGTGCTATCACCATAATATAGCTGCAGCTTGGCTCTACCACGTAGAAATGTTTATGTTGTTTTTCATTGTATGAATAGCTTTTATCAGAGAATTGAAATATCGGTTCTTATTAGACATGTAACGAGTACTCGGTTTGGATTCGGTACTCGGCGGATTCGGCCGTTTTTTAGGGTTCGGCCGAGCACCGAATATTAAGGGCCGATTACCGAGTACTCGGCCTTAATTATATTGCAGGGAAAAATAAAGACAAAAAGCCAGTTATTATCATTATTATTATATTAGACACATTAAAACATCAGGAACATGACAAACAGCAGAAATATTGAAAACGTAAATAAGAATCTATAATAGAAATTATGATCTTACTAATATTTAAAATTTAAGAGAGGAAGATTGTGATGCAAAAACACTAGCTTTTCGGCCCTATTTGGGTCTAGTTTGCTCCTTTTTGCTTCATATATTAAGCCCGCCTCTGAAAAAAGCCGTTCACTGTAAACTGAACTGGCTGGAGTTGATAAGTATTGAGCCGCAATATTTCCCAAGATGGGGTAATGAACTTTATTAGAAACCCACCATTTATATGGATTTGCATCTCTTGCGGCCCTTGGTACGCTTAAGTAATGATCTAACTCTGCTGCAGCGGAATTCTTAGGATCATTAGGCTGGTAACTAGTTGATGCGTCAGCGGCTTCTTCAAAACATTCCCAGAATAGATTATGAGCTTCAGAAGCAGTATGATCTCTATCTATCATTCTAGCTTTTTTTTCTGCTGGCTCTGCATCAATGACAAGTTCATCATCTTCTGTGTCTAGCGATATTTTTAGAGCTTCTCTTAGGACAGCCTTGCGAGCTTGATCTGCTTGATAAGCATTATAAAAGTTGATTTTGTAGCGTGGGTCTAAAAAGGTCGAAAGGAGATAAGTTCTGTTTTCAAACAAATATTCAAGATTGAAACGCGTGACTTTGTTCATATTGCTTACGAGGGCATTTCTAAAATCATCAACTTGATACGTTTTCTCCGACAGTTCTTCTTTTCGTAAATATCTCATCAATGTGACAGCATGCGGAATTACATCGGAAATAGGAGAATACGTGCTACTAGTTATTTTCGTCACTTCTTCAAAAGGTTTCAATAATATGATTAACTGCAACACTATTTCCCATTGATCGCTTGACAAGTTTTCAAAATTCAAATTTCGAGATTCTGCGAAGTAGACAGAAATAGCTCGTCTCTGTTCAATAATACGTTCCAGTAAATAATAAGTTGAGTTCCATCTGGTAATAACATCTTGATGTAGTTTCTTTTTTGGAAGGCCAAGTTCCTCTTGAATCTCGTGAAGTTTGTTATAACCACTGTGATTGAAATGTGTCACGATTCGTCGAGCAGCAGAAATTGTTTCTTTAACAGAAGTATTAGCGTCTATAGCGTCATTAATTACTAATTGCAGAGTGTGAATAAAACAACGAAAAGAAGGGAAGTTTGCGTCTTTCACACCTTTTGTTATATTTGCTGCATTGTCATGTACAACGGCACGTACTTTCGTAGCTGGTATGTTCCAATCGGAAACCGAATCGAGTAAGCTTTTCTTTATGTTTTCTGCCGTATGACTCTCTGGGAAAACCTTTATATCTAGCACTGCATGACCAAGCATATAACTTTCTTCTAACCAATGGGCAGTACAACTGAGGAAACAAGTTTTGTTAGTTTGACATGTCCACATGTCTGTAGTAAAAGAGATGTGGTTGACCGGTGCCAATCTTGACTTGATATTGTTCACCACTTTGTTATATATATCTGGAATTACATTTTCGCTAAAATATATTCGGCTTGGTATCTCGTACTGCGGTAAAATATTATTGACAAACCGGCGAAACCCTACATGACTTTCCACGATAGAAAATGGCTCGTTATCCACTGCGATCATTTCACCGATTAAATAATGGCACCTCTTTGCTCTAGAATCATTAATATCCCACAACTTTTTCTTTTCTAACATATCTTCTAAAGACGGCTGCTTCAAAAAACCACTCACTTGTGATTGACTGGACTGAGAGACAAATTCTTTGCTACTTGAAGCAATACTTGTAGTACCAAAAACCTCTTCATACTCCGACTTATGTTTAGTCTGCAAATGTCTTTTCATGGACGAAGTAGTCGCAGTTTTTCCCATACCTCCACGTGATAGTTGAACTCCACACAAATTACACTTAGATTTGTTTTTATCAACCTCCACAAAGTATTTCCAAACACCCGACCTTTTCGCACTACTTGACATTTTGTTATATTATAAATTACGCGTTGTCTACATAAAATAATTAATTAAACACACAAGCATAACCTCTTCTCCGTGAATACACGTACAAAAGTGACAAATGAGTTGATAAATTATGAAGTTACGGTTTTCCCCGCTCAAAGGGAATTCCCCGTGCACAGATTCGTCGCGCTGCAATATCGCGCTGTTACTCTGTCTCTGTGTAAGGGAAATAACCGCGCGCCACCCGCTACCGCGTTTTTTAAAGCCGAGCATTCGGCCGAGTATTCGGCCGAGTACTCGGCCCAATCTAGGCCGAGTACTCGGTGGCCGAGTACTCGGCGAATCACTACTCGTTACATGTCTAGTTCTTATTATGGTCCTTAAATATCAACTACGAAGCAGCTGTGATACAAAACTGTTTTGCTATAACATCGTTACCTATAAGTTATCTTTAAATCGTTCTTAATACATTGTAATACAGGTTAATTTTGAAATCTACGTCAGATGTATTAGGTTTGTCAACTACTTATGAAACATGTTTGTCTGAATTAGCACTTAGGTGCAAACGTATTTTATTGATTCATTTATTCCTTTGTATTCTAATTGCGATAACTCTTTGTCATTTAATACAGAACGTTTGGAATTTTGAATGATTTTAATAATAGCTTAGAATCAATTGAATACAGATATTAATATATATATTTATTTTAGAAAAATTTGGTTCGGGGACTACTTGTTTTAAATTCGTTTGATAGGATACGATATTATTTGAAAAATAGGAATCATGATAAATTACATTGTACTATATTTATATGAAGGTGATAGAGTGTGTTCGGTATTGGTGATAATGATTACGTATGAGAAAATATCTTACGTATAAAGTATAATCTTTACCTATACAAATAAATAAAATTGAAATGTCTGTTTGTAACGTCAAACTAACTGCTTTTTACTAAATGCATCTGAAATTATATCTTCTTCCTCTTCTCCCTGGCTATTGTCCCATTTTAATTGGGGTCAGCCCTCCTAGTAATCTTGCGCGACATCGTGCGATTGTGGGTTGTCCTTTCTGATATGTTAGTAGATTTCAGGTCGTTTTTTAGCGTTTGCAGCCAGGTTATTAGTGGTCGTCCACGGCCTTTATTCCCCTCTTCTATGTTAATAACTCTTTTAGTCATATGGTCATCATCCCGTCTCATCACGTGTCCGTACCAGCATAGACGGTTTTCTCTAAGTTTTTCGTGCACTATACCAACCTTAAATCTACCACGAATGTAATTGTTTCTTATTTTATCTGTTCTAGAAACTCCTCCAGACTAACGTAGCATTTCATCTCAGTGACGTGAATTTTCTGTTCATCCGTCTTTCTCATCGGCCAGCACCTAGATGCATATAGCAGAGCTGGTCTTACTGCTCTTTTGTATACATTGCCCTTTATTTTAATAGGGATTAGCGAGTCGCAAAGAATGCTAGACAGCGATCTCCATTTTAACCAAGCTGTTTGGGTTCTATTTTGTATGTCTCTTTTTATACATATGCCTTTGGTGCTTGCTACAACAGATCAGAGATACTTAAACTCTTCAACTCTCTAAGAGGAATGCCTTCAATAGATGGACATGGAATAAAATTCACATTGGCATTAGAAAAGTTACATGATGAAAATGCATGCAATTATTGTATTACATGAAAAAATGAAATTATATACGGTACTTACAATAAAACAAACATTTTACGTAGTTTTATTATACTTGGTAGATCCACGCTGCAACTGTAACATGGTTGTAGCACGAGTGGGTCGGCTCGACCGGGGAAGGACCAAGCACTCATAGAATACCAGCGTAAAATAGCAGCTTAATACTGCTGTGTTTCGTATAGTGAGTGAAGAGATCCGGAGACCCTTTTTTACTGGAAACGAGGCATTCCATCTTAATACTCAGGAGTCAGTCAGTCCTTCAGAAGCTCTTCAATTCCGTCCTCCATGGTGGCACTACTCCGGAGGCGTGGAGCAGAAGTGCGGTGGTCTTGTTCTTTAAGAAAGGCGACAACGCTCTCTTGAAGAACTACAGACCGATTTCCCTTCTGAGCCGTGTCTACGTGCTGTTTTCGAGAGTCATTAGGAATCGTCTCGCACGCAGACACGACGACTTCCAGCCTCCTGAACAAGCCGGTTTCAGAAAAGGTTTCAGTACCATATACCACATAAATACCCTGCGGCAGATTGTTCAGAAGAATGAAGAGTACAATCTGCCACTTTGCCTGGCATATGTGGACTATGAGAAAGCCTTTGATTCCGTCGAAATTTTTTTTTATAGGATAGGGTGAAATGCATTATGGTAAGTGGTTGCTTGGCCCTGACATTTCCTCAGGTCGGTTTGGCTAAGTTCCTGTATGTATGTGTGTGTGTGTGTTTGTGCAGTAGAGCTATGATGGATGGATCCAAGTACAGAACCAGAGTTCGAAACCTATCCAACTGCAGAGAGGTGTAAGACAGGGTGACGTTATATCCCCGAAACTCTTCACCGCTGCGTTGGAAGTCGTTTTCAAGCTACTGGACTGGAGGACATCACTCACCTTCGATTTGCTATAGGGCCTAAGCACTATGCTCAATGACCTCAATAGTGTCTCCCAACGGATATCTTAAGGTGAATAAGGACAAAGTAAAGATCGTTTTTTATGTCCATGTCACACCTATGCCGGTATTTATTGGGTGCACTATGCTCGAACAAATAGTCCGACTAGGTAAGTCCAACTTCGACCAAGAGGTCAATCGACGGATTCAACTCGGCTGGGCAGCGTTCGGAAAATTACGACACATCTTCTCGTCAGGTATGCCTCAATCTCTGAAAACTAAAGTGTACAACCAGTGCGTGTTGCCAGTGATGACTTACGGATCTGAGACGTGGTCCCTCACTGCTGGCCGTATGAGGACGCTCAAGGTCGCTCAGCAAGCGATGGAGAGGGCTATGCTCGGAGTTTCTCTGCGTGATAGACTCAGAAATGAGGATATCCGCAGTAAAACCAGAGTGACCGACGTATCCCAACGGATTAGTAAGCTGAAGTGGCAATGGGCCGGCCATATAGCTCGAAGAACCGATAACCGATGGGGAAGAAAGGTTCTCGAGTGGCAGCCTCGTACCGGTAGGCGTAGTGTAGGGCGACCCCCCACTAGATGGAGTGACGACCTGGTAAGACATGCAGGAAGTCGATGGATGCAGGTGGCTTAGGACCGTGCTTTGTGGCATTACTTGGGGGAGGCTTATGTTCAGCAGTGGACTTGTGAAGGGCTGTAATCATGATGATGATGATGACTCAGGAGTGACACCGCATCTGCGTTTTGATTCTTAATCGAGGATAAATGTAGATGTCTAGACTCTAGAGGTGGACAGTGTACTTGTTTGTCACCCTTATTCTATAAAAAAAAATTTTGTCTGTCCGTTTGATTCTTTTTTTCTTTTTTTCGTTGAACTAAAGTAAAGTAAAGTTACAGCCTATATACGTATATATATGCTGAGCACAGGCCTCCGCTCATTTCTGAGAGGATTTTAGGGCAAGGAATTGTCCGCCGCGCTGCCCCAATGCGTGTTGGCGAACTTCACATGTCTTCGAAATATTTTTTTCTTGTTTCTCTGACATGCAGGTTTCCTCACGATGTTTTCCTTCACCGCCGAGCACGTGGTAAATCAGCACTTAAAATTGCAATTAGCAATTTAACTAAGCTTCAGTCCAAATAAAAATTTAAAATCATGAAATCTAATCGTTATAAATTCCACGCGAAGTTGCGGGGTACAGCTGGTCTATTATATAACTGAGATGTCTTTTACGACAGTTGTCATTTGTATATGATATAGATTTGATACAAACAACTGTCGAGCTTTGATCTAAATGAATTTGCATTGAAACAGATATTAAATATCGCAAAGCGTAGGCTTTCCAATGGCTTAAAATTTAATATTCAACTAAATATCATAAATTTCAGTGTAAACACTCTGATATGAACATCAATAAATTTTGGTTAATAATAAATATACGTATACGTGGTAGAGTCATACTGCAACTATCTTAGTAGTATAGTTGTGGAACGAATGGGTCGGCTCGACCGGGGAAGCACCACGCTCCACAAAATACCACCCAACCAGCTTGACGCTGCCGTGTTTCGTATGATGAGCTTAGAGAACCGGAGACCCATGTTGCAGAAAACGGGGCATTCCATCTTACTCTTCACGGTTGATAACGCATCTGCATTTTGATTTATATTTGAAGATAGACGTCTATGGGCCACAGCAACCACTTATCATCAGGTGGACTGTTTGCTCGTTTATCACCCTTCTTATATAAAAAAATAAAGTAAATAATTTTCAGTTTTTTTTTAAACAAAGTTCAGTAGTTTTTATCGATATCCTACGTTATAATAGTGCACTGTTAATAATAAGAAGTATAAAGAATTTGTAGGTTCTTCAAAATCTTAAATACTACTTGGTGGATTAACCGGATCTTCTAAAAGAATTTTTTAGGAGTTCCGGAGAAAACAGTTCACGAATAAACGGCGGAAAAGACGGCGGTGATTTATATGTAGGCATTGATTCTTAATTGTATTATTTATTATGAATCCGCTTAGATTTTCATAAAATCTTTAGCAAATTTACTATAGTAAATTGGTATTTTTTATGTGTTAAAATCATTAAATTACATTGAATAAAAGTAAATTTAAGAAATCATTAGCATTAAATTACGTTAAAATTTCTAGTGAGTCGAAAAACGATTGTCTCCTTTGCCTTCCAAATGTTAGGCTCATAAGGATATAATAACGTCATGCTTTAACCTAACCGCCTGTTTTTGTGTATCAAGTACACCAGTTAAGAATACTGACTATTGCGTAAACCAAAACGACATAAAAACCTACCATGTTGCTTTTAACTCGCGATCGAATAAACTCTCGAGTCCTTAATGCAACTCGTTGGCAAATATTCATTAAATAAGGAAATTATCAGACAGTTTTGAAATTTGTTACGTGTACAGAATAA